TACCTGTATCCTGAGTGTCCTTGCTAGGTGGGGCTCTGGTTTTCCCCGGTCAAGAAGGTCCTTTGTGCAAATAAGGACTGTTTGTCTGGGAGTGGTAATAGTCAAACTTGCATTCTTAACCTTTGTGCCATCATTTAAAAAAGATTATGGCTATGAAAAAAAGTAACACATGCTTATTTCAATAAAGTCAAACTGCACAAAAGGATATACTCCTCTTCCCTCTTAAACTTCTGCCCTGAGATTATCATGTCCTTCTGGACATCGGTGTCCATACACACACACACACACACACACACACACACACACAAACATATGCACACACACATGTTTAGTATAGGAATTATTTTTTCTTACTTTTGTTCTGTTAGAGAGAAGCAGTATTAATTTGCTCTTTTTTTTTAACCTTTATGAAACCAGTCTGTAACTTGCTTTTCCCCCTATTTATCTACTGATAGTGGGCAGTTCACCAGGTCAGCACATTTTTTAAAAGGCTGCCTATTTTCCCACTTTGTAGATGTGCTATAACGTGTCCATATATTTCCCTTCCCTATTGATGAGTACTTGGGTCCTCATAATGTTTCACTGTTATAAACAATACTACAGGAATATCTTGGACTCTAGTGTGGATGTTTCCCTAGGATAAGATCGGGTTGCTGGGCATGTGCATTGCCCAATACCCTGCCCAGACTTGACCATTACCATCTTATTATCTCATCCTGCTCACTGACCAGTGTAATGTCTGCCTCCTCATCCTCATCTCTAAGGTGGTCCAGCCCACCCATCCTCCAAGCCTGAAGCCTCCTTCAGCTCTTAGACATGAGACCTTCAGAGGCCACCTTGCCCGATTCTTACAGTCAGAAATGGGGTTAACTAGAGAAGTTGATTGAAGGCTAAGTCTTGGTTTGCCCTAATGGTTGAACTAAGGACAGTTTGCTGCTGTAACATATTACTACAAATTTAGTGGCTTAAGACAACACAAATGTATCACATTATGTTCTGGAAACTAGAATCTAAGTTGGACTCTCTAGGCTAAAATCAAGATGTCAACAAGCTGTGTCCCCTCCTGCAGGCTCCAAGGAAGATGTGTTTACTTGCCATTCTAATTTCTGGAGACTGCCCCCAGTCCTTGGCTGGCAGCCCTCTATGGATCTCACACCACATGACTGTCCTGACTCTTCTGCCTCCCTCTTCCACATTTAAGGATCTTCTTGATTGCACTGGGCCCAGCCACAGCATTCAAGATAATCCTGTTATTGAAGGTCACCTGAGTAGCAATTGGCATTCCATCTGCCACCTTAATTCCCCTGTGAGAATATAATATATTCACAGCTTCTAGGGATTAGGGTCTGGACATCTTGGGGACCATTATTTGCCTGCACCAACACTTTGGGGACAGAGACCCTGACAGCTGCCTTCTAAGGAATCTGTGTCTGAGAAAAATCTCCTACCAGGCAGATGATGGGAAATAAAGCCAGGGGACTGTCAGAGGACTGCAATGATCTATGCAAGGCAGTGACCAATGGGCCTGGGCACTGGGAAAATTAGTTGACTGATACCAGAAATGAAAGCAGCCACCCCTTACCTAGGGCTCCACACAAGGGCTTCCAGCTGCCATGGTGCCTACATATCCAAAAAAAAAAAAAAAAACAGGTCTCTGAGCCACCATAGTCCTGGCTTCTTAAGTGAGGTCTGTGGGCAGCTGAAAAGGCCTTGGTGTGGAAGTCAGCAATGGTTGCAAGGAAGTCCCTCCCCAGCAGTGAGCCCTGCTATCTCCCTCTACACTGGGACGAAGGGAATTGCCTTAGCAGGGTCCTCAGCTTTGCTGGGCCGGGGACCTGAGGTTAGAATCCAAGCCCTGTCTCTGGAGGCACAGAGTATGTGTGGGTATAGCCAGGCCTCTCCCACAGACAATTGAGCCCCAGAATGCTCTCCTCAACCCTCCTAAACATACCTCCTCAGGCCCAGAATTTCTACCAGTTGCCCTCAACACCCAGGGGCCAGAGTTCCCTCAGAATTTAGCAACCATCCCCCCCTTGCCTACCTCATCAGTGGGAGTTAGGTAGAGAGGGAGAAAAAGAGAGAATACGTCAACACCTTTGTATCTGTCCCAAAAATTTGTCCCCATCTCTGTTTCTGTGTCTGTGTTGTTGTATTTCTATCTCAGGTTGGAATTGGTCTGTTTTATAATTTAAAAGAATAACTTTTGTTCTTTTTTCTCTGCTAATATCTTGCTTTTTAAAATTTTTATTCAAATTGAAACCATTTGTTATGGGAAATAGAGATAAAAAGAGTGTTAGTCTGTTTGGGGTCATTATAACAAATGCCTGAGATAATCAAGCTCTCAAGAGGAAAGGCCTATTTGGCTCACAGTTTTGGAGGTTGGTAAGTTGGGCTGTTGCTTTTAGGCCCATGGTGAAGCAACACATCATGGCGGGAGCACAGTGGGGAACAAAACTGTTCACCTACCACCAAGCACACACCTGTAATCCCAGCAGCTCCAGAGGCTGAGGCAGGAGGATCATGAGTTCAAAGCCAGCCTCAGCAAAAGTGAGGCGCTAAGCAAATGAGACCCTGACTCCAAAGAAAATACAAAATAGGGCTAGGGATGTGGCTCAGTGGTCAGTGCCCCTGAGTTCAAACCCCGGTACCCCCTCTCCCCTCAAAAAAAGAAAAAAAAATTGTTCACCTCATGGTCAGGAAGTGAAAGAGGGGAAGGGAAAGGGGCGGTCCCACTGTCCCCCTTAAGAGCAGACTCCTAATGACCTAAGGACCTCCCACTAGGCTCCACCTCTTAAAGGTTCCACAATTTCCCAATAGCACCATCCTGAGGAGAAAACCTTTAACACATGGACCCTTGGGGAAGGAACACTTAAGATCCAAGAGCTACATTTTAGCAAAGGGGACACATTTAAAACACCCAGACAATACCACCCTCCCAGAGACAGTTGCTTATCAACACCATGGCCTATAGCTCTCCACATACTCTTCAATACATAGAATTATATTGTGACAAAAGTCAAATTTCATCATACAGCCATGTATATATGCTTCTCTAGCCATGTATATATGCTTCTCTATGACTCTACGTTTTACTTCTATATATAACGATGACCTTTCATGTTAGTGAGTTTAAATTTACCTCATTGTTTTGGAGCCTCCCTAGCATTCCATTTTATGACTCCAAGGATATGCCAGGCAGTCCCCTCCTGTTAGTTTTTAGGCCATTTCTAATGTCATCTTACAGATGCACTGGGTCAGTGCACCTGGGCGGGGGGGGGGGGGGGGGGGGGGGGGTGGATTGGGGCTGAAGGTCTCTGTGTCTCCAACTGTATCTGCCTTTCCAAGTGTCATGTCCTTGAAATGGGGACCTGGCGGAACACAATGAACCTTTTCTACTCCTTGGAACAAGTGATTTCCTTTAAGGAAGGCACTTTTCCGGAAAACATGTTATTCCAAGGCTTCCTGATTCCAGAATCCAGTATGTCCCAGAAAGAAATACACGCTGGTTTCAGAGTCAGGGAATAAGGAGAAAGAGCAAGGTGGGGTGCCTCTTCCTCCACCGCTTCCGACAGCTGGGTTTCAAGGATCTTCATGCTCAGACCTCCTCCAGACACAGCAAAACGGGATTCCCGGGATTCCCGTCTCCTCTGTACAATCCAGAAATGGAGGCCCAGCAAGTCAGTAGGAGTGGGAAGGCAAGGACTAGCCCTTTCCCCTATGTGCATGGGGGCTGGGATGGAACCCAGCAGTTCCCCCATCCCTTCACCCAGGGGTGGAGCTGAAAGGGAAACCCCATTGTGAAAGGAAGCAAGACTTGCTGGGGAGAAGCACAGTGTGACCTCTGCAGGCGCAAAGACTTAGGAACACCTCCACTTAGCTGGCCCAGGACTGAAGTCTGTTCACCTCAGCATGTGTTCCATCTTTAGGGGAGGCCTTTGGGGCTGCCCATGAGAACCGCAAGTTACAAAGACCCTTTTGTTCTGCACAGTCAGAAATACAGATGGGGACAGGTGTCAGCAGGGGTTCTGCTCAGGTAACCCTGGGCAATCAGACCCCTGGGTTCCCCTCTTCCTGAAGAGACCCAGTGCTGAGCATTTCCTTGATGCAGACGCCAGGTGTGGAGGAAAACAGTGTGGCAGCTCAGTCCCTTCACTGGGAAAATGGAGATGGTGGGGTTGCTGATGGTACACTATATACAGAAAGCAGCACAGAGCCTGCTGCATAGAAGACCAACAGAAGCGGCAGCCCCAGTGGACTGAATGGAGAGAAAACGCTAGATTTGGAAACTGGGGCTCCTGGGTTGAAGAATGGCTCTGCCCCAGATTTCCAGCATGACCTTGAGCAACTGCTTCCTTCAATGCCACCAGATAAATAACCGTCTTGGCTGGTATTTTGGTGACAGCCTATCTTGTCCTTGCTGCCTCCCTCCCTCGGGATGGTGGGGAGAGGCCTCTCTTTCCCAGAAGGGCAGCTTCCTGCTGGCCTTGTGCTGAGCCTCCTCTCTCTCCTCACATGGTGGGCTGCACTGGGGAGAAAGGCACTCCACATACTCCGCACACACACACCACACACATATCACACACATACACCACACCACACACATCACACCCTCGACGCATATACATACTACACACATCACATGCCACAACATGCACACCTCATTCGCATTACACCCCCCCCCCAACTGTGTGGTGGTTCACCTCACTCCACTCACCAAGGTCCTTGTCAACCCTCCTCTTGCTGGATCCAGGCACCTCTTCTCCACGCTCACCCTCCTCAGCGCCCTGCTCCCTTCACCCAGCTCACTCACCCTTGCAGAACTCCTCTCTCCCCATAGGGTTGCCAGATTAAAAAAGCAGGAAGCTTGAGTCTCAGACAAGAATAACATTTTACTCTACTTATGACCTACATATTGCATGAGACACATTTATACCCATAATTATTCATCATCTATCTGAAATTCCAATTTAACTGGATATCCTGCCTTTTTATTTGCTAAATCTGGCAACCTTGTTTTCCCGAATCTCTGCTCCCACACACTCCACACCTTCCTGTCCCTTCTCTAATTGCTCCTCCTCAGTCCTTCCCTTTATCAGCCTGGCCCAGGGTGGTGGCCTTGAGCACCTTCTCTTCCTCAACCTTGCTCTTCTGGGACAGTTCCTCTGGTCCTGGGACCCATCTCCACTTGGGACTGGCCTTGCCAGAGTCCTCCAGGACCTCATCTCCAGCTCCTGATGCAGAAGCCACCCATCTCCTGAGCAGCAGCATGTGGCAATGATCTTGTGCGTGCCTGGACACTGTACATGCTCAGCCTGACAAGTAAGACTGTCTCTTTGCCACTTTTACCCTTCATTGCCTGGAAACACGCTGCCCGAATGCAGCAAAAAGTGCTTCCCAGAGGAGCTGGCTGTGATCCAGACTCATCTCCTTGTGCTGGCCAGGCTGAGCCACTGATTCCCTGCACCACATGTTCTGTGAACAGACACCTTCCCCCAATTTCTGCTTGTTGAAATCCCTTCTCTTCCAGACCAGCCCAAGGGCATTGTCCTCCCAGCTCTCCGGGGTTCTCCCAGCTCTCTCCGAATCTGCTGCCTCATCCAGGAGTACACCAAGTACTGGATCACGCCTGATCAACTCCCACCTTCTCTGTGCGGTGCCTGGCCACAGTCAGTACTCAGTCAGAGTTCATGGAATGAAGGAGTGAGTGACTGAACAGGTGGGTGAGTGATGGAATGAATGAATAAATGGGAAAGTGAGGCAGTAAGGCCCAAGGAGAAGATAGCTGGGAGGGTAGATGGATAGGGGGTCCAACGTGAGGTTGGGTGACTGGGAAAATGGATGAGTGTGTGGGTAGATGGAATAAGTGGATGGGTGGGGAGGTAGGTAAATGGACAGGCTGGGGAATAGATCAGTGGATAGATGAGCAAATGAACATGAGGAGCCTCCAGGCTTGACGGACTGCCCATCCCCTGCAGAGGGAGGCCAGGCTCCCCTGCCACTATGTAACAGTCCTGTCACTCTAATCTGGAGACCCTCCCTGGCCTGACCCGGTGAGGGTTGTGAGTACGCAGCACAGACACAGTCCCCTGAGCCTGGAAGGTGGGACCTGGCTCCAGCTAATGAGTGCCTGCCTGAAACAGAACTGACTCTGCTTGAGGGCAGGGGAGGACAAGGCCACTTCTTCTCCCCTCTGAGACCCTGAACAGCCATTTCTGTCCACTGGAGGCTCCTGTACCCAGATATTCTATTGTGCTTGGATGTGCTCACCCACCTCTGACCTGTCCAGGTGCCTCTGGGAAGAGGACCCTTCCAAGTTCCTGTGGCACTGCATTGCCCAGGTCCTCTTTCAAGGAAGGATTTCCTTCTGACAGCAATATTAGGATCTGGAGATATTAGGATACATCTGGGGGATATTAGGAACCTGCCTCACGATGTGAGTTTTTTTCTCTACCCTCTCCTGCTGCTGCCCCCTTCCCCACACAGGTGTTCATCCCTAACAGACATCTTGCCCTCAGACTCCGTCTCAGTGTTCACTCACAGAGAACACAACCTGCAACAACTGCCTCAACTCCATCTCCAGAGCTCTCTGAAGTTGGCTCCTTTCCACACACACCTAGGAAGGCCCTGCTTGAGGCCTATAGTGTCCAGAGGGACTAAGACATGGTCCCAGGAGCTCTTGTCTCTGGACTGAGCTCTCTCTTCCCTGGGTTCACCCTATCCCATCCCTTCACCCATCCCCCTCCACCAGCCTGACCCTGCCTGCACCCTTCACCCCACCCACCACCATCACTTGGCACCTCCCAGCTCCAAGCCTCTCTCAGCCTTTCCTGTGGCATTCATGTGGCAACAGCAGCCTGTCTGGACACTATTATGAGCCAGAGCCCCCCTCAGCCTCAGTCCTGCTCCCCTGAACAGGCAGACCCTGGGAGAGTCACCCATTCGGTGATAGAGCAGATATATGAGAAGGCTCAGAATTTTGCACCTTTCAAACTTGACTTTTTAACTGTGGCACAGCATTTATTCTGTGGGCAGAAGAACAGATTTTCTGTTAACAAAAACTGAATATCCATTTGTGATGAAAACAAGAGCTTTGTTACATGCCCTGAATGTAACATAACATTTTAACTTTTTTGGAATTATCTTTCAGTTCATGATTTTCCTACATTCCTAAGTGACAGCAAGTCACTCACATTCTCTAAGAATAGAAGTGACCTGTTAGAATATAGCAGTAAAGTCTGGTTCAGAATGTGTTTGAAAGCCATCTTTCTGGCTTTCCTGTTAATAAAACATCTTGTACTTTCTGTGACTCTTATTTTCTCTTCTGTGGTTTTCCAAACCAGATTTGGAAAGACCCGTAAAAGGATATGTATTCTCATTATAAAATAAATCACTTGTTCCAGGAAGTAGCTCTTTGATTTAGGAGCTAATTTCAGGCATCTGGCCACAGTATGCAAAAATACTCCACAGCAGAACACAAAAGAATTGGTTTCTCAAAACGTCCACTTGGGGATGCTTCCTCTGGTGGCAATAGCACTAGTTTTACAGGCACCTTGTTGTGATATTTTCCAGCCATTGTACATTAGCAGAGCTGGCCCACCACACATGGTGTCTGCTCATGCCTCCTGAGATGGCTTCTGGGTCCCCATCCTGAGGGTAAGGCTCAGCTGAGCCCTCAGGGCTCTGAGTTGACTCCCACTGGCTCCCAACAAGGCGTAGCAGCCCAAAATTGAAGGAGATGGAAAGTTGGTGGGATTCAGTAGGGGAAGGACAGGATGCAGGAACATCAGGGAAGACTTGTTGAGGGGGCAAGTGGGTCTGACCCACCAGCAGAGCAAATCCTGAGAGACTGTAAGGCCTCAAATGACGGTCCAGAAGTCCCGGGTACTCGGCATTGACTGGGCTTGGGGACCTGAGAAGAGAGAAGCCTCCTGGCGAAATGTGGCCACTGTGAAGCTGTGGCCAGGGCCTCCCTGAGGATCCTGAGTCTTTGAGTCATAGCTGAAGCAGCAGAGGATACAAGTGATGGCCACTGTGAACACAAACAGTACCGCCACCACCCCAATCACTGCTGACTCCATGGCCTGCACTGGCAGCTGACACGCTGAGCAACATGCGTGGTCTCCGAGCCCCAGCTCCCCATCCAAAACAGGGGGCTCTTGGTGGTCAGAGGTACTCTGTGCTCAGCTGGCTGCTCCTCATGTGTCTTCTAAGATACTGGTCTGAGGCTCTGGGTTGTGTCACCAGATGCTGCTGGGGTCTCCAATGATCTCTATTTTCTATGCCTCCGGCCTGGCTTTCAAGAGCTGTCTGTGGTCAACTCTGCTGGCAGCTTCTAGAAGACATGCACTCCCAGGAGATGTGGGCACAAGACTCCCTGGACATGGAGCCAGGTGGGGAGGAGGGGCAGAAGACATCACTTAAAGGGAGCCAGGCCAGCTGGGGCCTTTTGGTGGTGCCTGTGGATTTCAGAGGGATTGTACACTCAGGCAAAAAACAAAATACTCCCCCTCCAGGGGATCCAGGAGGATTCTGGCACCTCCCCTACAGAGACCTTGGGCCAGTTCTTGGATCCATCTCTTGGCTGCCTCCCCATCCCTGGCCCTAGCCTGGGGGCAGGGACACAGGTAGGCAGGAAAGCAAGTGCCAGCTCTGGGCAAGGCTGGGGGTGGGGCGGGGCGAGGTGGGGAGCATTCACAAGGCACTGCAGGTGCCAGGGCGGATGGTCTCCTTCTCTGAATGAGGCCCAGAAAGTACAGCACAGACAGGACAGGGTGTCTCCTGTTCCTTCGGGAACATGCTAAAGGGCTCCCTCACCCTGGTTCCAGGAGAAACCCTCCTCTGCCATCTTGCCCAGTCCTCTTTTCTGCCAGCCCAGACTCGGGTGCTGTGAAGACTTACCCTGTGCTCCCAGAGGGCCAGCCCTGGCTGTACCTGTGCTGTGGCCTCCTCTCCTGGTGGTCGCCCCCCAGGGCCGTGACGCAGCTCCCTGGATGCTACAGAGTTGGTCCTGCTTGGAAATTGGCTCCGAGATGTCTGAGCAGCTGTGAGTACTTCCTGAATCCCTCCCTCCAATTGTGAGTGAGGGCCCAGGACCCACAGTGGCCACCCACTCAGTGACAGCACTTACCCCGCCCCCACACTCCCTGTGCCATTCCACTCTGCCCCCTGCTGGAGGTCAAGGGAATGAGCCCGGCCTAGGCCACTCCTTCCCCAGAAGGGAGTCCCTCCTGGCCCTCATTTTACATCAACACTCCTGAGACCTCACCACTTCCAGAAAGGAGTCTGGGTCATCAGCCCCTTACCCATATTCTGAGAAATGGACTAGTGGGAAGCAATAATTCTGAGTGTCTCATGGACTCTTCATAGCAGCATGTACAGTGACATCGCCTCCATTTTTCAGATGCTGATAGTCACAGAGCTGGAGTGTCCTGCTTAAGGCCTGTTGCTAGTTAGTAGCAGTAACCACAGCACTAAACGGTCTTTCCTGCAGTCCCATCTCAGTGTTCTTTCTGTGTACTATAAATACCCGATTCTGCCATTTATGGATCAGGGTACGAAGGTTCAGAGAAGGCAAGGAGCTGACCCAAAAATCACACAGCCTGGAACTTTTTCAATTTCTCTAAGGACAAAAAGAGCTTTAGTATTGCGTTGGGAAACTGCCTATGCACATCTTCTAAGTTAATTGGACCATCTGGATTCTAGGCTCCTCTTCCAGAGGAAGCCAGACACCTCAGATTATTTGTCTTAACTGGGGCAACCAACAGCAGAGAATAGGGAACATAATGCATTGATCCCTGGCGCTTGCAGTTTCTGATAGAATCCCCGATATCAACTAGTTAGTTTGGCAGATAGGGGCATAAGGAACTGTGTTTCAAGCTTGATTTTGTTTTTTGTTTGTTTGTTTTTGGCTTCTTGTTTGCCTGTTCTTCCCAGGTACATATAGTTATAGGCCACCTGCAGTAGGTGTCAGTGTTTCTGCATTTTTAATCTGGACATTTGCCTAGTCCTGTTATCTTTTGCCTCCAATAGGTTCCCTTTTTCATCTCCAAGATTTGGGGGAGAACTCTTAACCTTCTTTGATTTATCCATAAAATCTGTGGAGAAGCTGCAGAAAAGGGCCGGGCCCAAGGGGGCCAGACCCTGAGGGGGCTGTGGCAGGAGCCAGGTGGGGGACTGACCTGGACTAAGGCAGAGCTTGGGGGAAGGAGAAGGGGAGGTGGATTGGACAGACCCTACAGAGAGTCATCAACAATCCGTGGGACCTATGGTCCATTTTCGCATCCCAGAACTCTCTCATGTGACTGTCACTGTGAATCTGCCTCCCTCCCTCACACTTTGTCACTCCTCATCCAGCCTCACAGAGAATCCTCTGGGAAACAGAAGGAAAGAGGACATTCTATTCCAGTGAGTCACCAGGCCCTCACTTTCTGGCCTGTTCTCCATCCCCTCCCCCGCTGGCCTTCTCCCTGCGCTTCCTCCCCAGCTCCAGGGCACAGGATGAAGTCCTCAGAACAAGAGTCCCTTCTTCTCTGTGGAGTCCACCAGCTGCTCATAGAGCATTTGGGTACATGCTTCTGGGCTTTAGCAGAGGGAATCCCATTTTAAGGAAGAGGAAACTGAGGCCCAGATGAGGCAAGCACTCTCCTAAGGCCACCCAGCACCCCAGTTTAAATAGTGCCACTCCCTCCCAGTTCTGCTGCCATAGCAGGCACCTGGGGACAGGCTAGCTGGAGACTTCAGCTTGACCAGTTACCAAGAAAACCCTGAATCCAACATGGCCTGTGGGCCCCAGAGCTCAGTCTGCCCTGGACATGGACTGGAAATAGTCCTGGAGGTAGAGCCCAAGGGGCCAGTTGAGGCAGCCTCAACTCTTCTCTCTCTGAGACCCTGGACAGCCCACAGAAGGCCAGAGTCCTGCAGATGTGCACAGGGCCCTGTCTGGGCAGGGTTTTGTGCAAACACTGAATCTTCCCTCAGAGCTCAGGCGGGGCGCACTCCTCCCCACTTCCCAGCTAGCCTCTGAGCCCCAGTTTCCCATCTAAGGTCCCAGGGCAAGGCAGACATGGCCTGGTGGCTCCCTCCCATCCCCCACCATCATGCTGGAATCCAGAGATGCACAAAAGCTTCTTGGTGGCTTTATTTCATACAAGGCACTGATGAATTGAGTCTGCAGCCTCCTCCAAGCCAAAGTGCATTCTCAGGGGCTCTCCAGCTACGCGCCTGCCAGAGGCCCACAGTTGCCTAAGGAAAGTCAAATGAGCACTTTGCCTCCACCTGCCCTTTGGCTCTACCAGGCACCCTTGTTATGACACAAAATGGGGTGTCCAGCCAACCCTGCTCTCCACTCCTGAATCCTAAATGGCCACCTCAGGTGGTCCTCAAGTTCTCTGTGCACAGTAAAGGGGAGCATAGCATGTAAATGAAGCCCAAGCAGTGCCCCCCCCATTCACCCAGAGACACATCCTTCCATATGGAGACATCAGGGTCCACTCATCCTTGGGCTGGGTGACAGGGCAGGGCAGGGAGCACTGCCATCCACAGGCGTCAGCGGCAGCCTCTGTGGGCATGGTGGAGGTGGTGAGGAGAGTGGTGCAGGTGATGGTGCTGGAGGTGGAGCTGGTGGTGGTGGTTGTGGTGATGGAGGCCCACACGGGGCCCCTGATTCACATGGCCAGGGTGGTGGTGATGATGATGATGTTGATGAATGTTTCCCAGAGGGCCCCGGCCCTGGAAGAGCCAACGCTGGGCTCGCCGGGCTCTCCTGACTCTGCGTTCTCCTCCAGCTGGAAGGTTCCTCTCCATGTCATGGTCCTGTGGTTCGTGGAAAAGGCAGATGGCCAGTAGCAGCAGCAGCAGCAGAATAGACACAGCAGCACCTATGATCCAACCCACAGGGGCCTTGCTCTCCAGGAGGCCGAGCATCTGGGAGCTAGATGGTCCCTCTCCACTCAGTGGCTTCAAGCTGCTTCCTCCCCTTCAGCAGCCTCTGCTCAGTCTCACAGTCATTGAACTTTGTCCCAGCTCCTGTGGACTGGAAAACAGCCAGGGAATGTGGGCGAGGCCTGTTTGGACTGGAGCTGCTGGCCAAGGGTGAGGCCGGGGAGCCATTAACTTTGGGGAGGCCAGGCAGGGAGGTTGGGTGGAGACAGAGGAGCTGTCAGACTGGGTGTCCTTGAGAGAGCTGCTCAAGTCTAAGGGTAAGAGGTCAATGTCTGCTCCCCTCCTGCCACCTGGCCAAGTGACCAGTGGAGACAGTATAGCACAAAAATTAAGACCACACCACAAGCTAAGCAGGAGATGGAGACGTAGCTAAGAAGTAGAACACTGGCCTAGCATGCATAAGCCCCTGAGTTCAACTCCCAGCAGTGCAAAACAAACAAACAAACAAACAAAACTGGGTGGAGGATTTTGGAACCACACAAATCACAAGCTCTATGATTGTGCCCAAATTACTTAAGCTACTCTCAAATTACTGAAGTGCCTTGGTTTCTTCATCTGTAAAATGGTCTAAGCTGTAATAATAGCATTTACCTCTTAGGGTTTCCTGAGGATCAAAGGAGTTAAGACCTATAAAGAACTTAAATAGTTTCTGACATGTTTGCCACTGATAATATTGCGGTCGGATTTGGATTAAATTACTTGGGAGACTTTGCATCTAAGAATGTGAATTCCTGTCCTGCAGCCCACAAGTCCTTCACCATTAAGAGTCAGTGAGTTATCCCGAGCTCCGTGAGCTTCAGGAACTCCATGAGGCCTACAGGCAGATCTTCATCATCAGAGTCTGGGAAGCAAGAGAATCAGCTGTCAGCCCAGGGTTTCTGGGAGGCAGAAAGGAGACTGCTGAGCCCAGACAGGCCAGGCCCCAGTCCAGCCTCCTGGTTCCCAGACCAATAGCCTCAATGGGCCAGCCTCCCTGCCATGCAGCCAAACTATGGATGCCACCCTGCCTAGTGGAGGATTTAGACAGTGGACAGGATATGAACAGTCCTGGCTCTCTCCCCTTCCTAGTCCTGAATCCCTTCTGTTCATCACAGCCAAGCACTGGTCCTGTCCTGCTCACGGCCTAGGGACAGGTGCTCATTCTCCCTCTGGATAATCTTTCCTGCTAAGGGCCTGTTGGACTTTTTGGGCTTTTGCTCACATGCAGTGGCCTCCCCAAAGCCTTAGCTCTGCATCTGGATCCCCAGGGGCCCACCAGGCAGAGTCCCAGCTGAAGGAGCTCTAAGTTCCCCCCAGTGAGTGCTCATGTCCCTGCCACCGGGAGGAATGTTTACAGAAGCCATAAAGCTGGCACTGAGCTCTGCAGCAACTCCACCCTGTGACCTCAAAGGTCTTCCCCTGACCCAGCCTGTTTGTCCTCTGTAAAGTTCCCAGGGCAAGAGATGCCTCCCTGGACTCCTCTATCTCTGACCTACATCTGAGCCATTCTCTCTCAGGGAAGGCCTCAAACCCTAAGTGAAAACCCCAGTAGATGAAAAGCCTACACATTTCTTTCAGGCAAATTGGGCTCAGGGGGCAGCACGTTTAATGAGTCCTGAGCTTCTCTGGCCCCCAGGAGAAGCCACTTGAACTTTTAATGATGCTGGAATTAAGTACTCCTTCTGCAGACTTCTGGGGCCCTGGGAGTCACCTGCCTTCCCTTGGAACACATTACAGAGGGAATCTGCTGTGAGGAGGAGGAGAATGTCAAACAGGAGGAACTTTCCTCTTTAGAATTTCTCCAGAGAGACTCTCACTCCACCCCAGCCAGGAGGAGGGCAGGGCCCTGAAATCTGCATACTTTAAGAATTTCATCAGCAATGAAGGCGCCTGGGGAATCACCCAGCCCCAGCCCGCACAGAGAGATGGAAGAATTGAGGCCACAGAAAGGAAAGGACCTGCCTGAATTCTCCTGCTGTGTGGCCAGTCAATACAGCAGGCCATCAAGAGAGCCCAATTCATGTGAGGGGCTGTCCAGAGTGAGTGTGATCCACTGGGAACCTTCCAGAGATAATGAGAAGATGACATGTGATGTGGGTGAGCCAGAGTTGGGCAGGAACTAAGAGGGTAACCCCCACATACATACACATATGCACAACATCTGTTTTCTGAGATGCAAGTTCACTTCCCATCTGGCGGTCTCCAGACTTCAGAAGTGACGAACCTTCATGGAAGCCTGACTAGGTACAGAACTTGCAGGACTAATGTCTAGATAGGTTTCAACTAGGAAGTCCCAGTCTCAGTCCCAGTCTCAGAAAAGCTATCCTGTGGCCATGTCATTGTATTTGTCTCCCAGGATGGGGTCTTTCCCCTACAGTGTTTTTCTAAATTATCTAGGCTGGCTTTGAACTTGTGATCCTCCTGCCTCAGCCTCCTGATTATCTAGGATCACAGGTATGTGTCACGGGGCCTGGCTAGCCTTTTGAAACTCATATTATTTTACCTCAATCCCATAGTTTCCAGGGAGCCCAAACTTATGCATGTACTTGTCTGCATGTGAAGTCTTATAACAATGACATAGCTCTGTGGGAACTTGTGCCACTGATAATTGTACTCATATGTCCTCATCTACGTATGCACACGTGTGTACATATTGCAGAAAAGCTCACAAACCTGTGATCATACCCATGGCAGGTGGCTTTGGTTGTCCAGCAATAGCAACCACATTGTTTTCACTAATTGGTGGCACCACCTAGTGGTGACACTGTAAATAAATTACTCTTGTATTCAGATCTATAAAATTTTAGTATCTTGATTTTTGTTGATAGATCACAAATTGAACCCATGCACTTAACTCCTTTCCATTCCAGACTACCACTGAAATGGCAAAATAATTGGAAGTAAGAAAATACTATTTCACACGGAAATCAGTGAGTGGCATTACTGGCCTGGAAAAAGAAAATTCTATAAAATATGATGCATGAGAACCCGGTTGATAGCTGTATAAAGGAAGGGCATTTGGGAAGTTGTGGAAGGTGTGCCCCAGCAGGGCCTATCTAAAGCCCTAGACAGCCAGGACTAGGAACAAGGGAGAGTGGGGTTCAGGCAGAAAACAAATTGAGTGACCTTGAAAATTGCTCACAGAGAAGCTGGCCAAGGCTCAGCCCATTTTTTGGTTTGCACAGAAGAGCAGGGACACTGGCCAGCAGGTGCCTAACCTGGGAGATCATGCCAGTTAGAAAAGAAAGACACTTTTCCAGTTAACCTTGGGCTGACCTGATATATTCTGAAAAGAAGTTGCCCAACACAGCAACTCAGAAGCTCCCCACTCCACCCTGCTGCGCTTGGCCCCCAGTGATGGCCAAGTAAAGCTCCCAATCCCGAAAATGAGAACATACGCAGTCAGGTTTCTTTTCTTTCCATCTTGCCTGGAACCAACATGCTTGGAAACGATCTATATCGTCTTTTATAGAACCCATGTCTTTTATTAGAGCTTTATAGTTATATATAGTAGTTGGATTCATCCCAACAAACTCATACATGCATGGAAATCCATTCCAGTTCACGGTCTTCCTGCTTTTCCCTCCCCTAGAACCTGTTTTAAAGCTCAATACCCAGCAAACATGGATTGACTCCCTCCATAAAGTGAGCAAATAGAGAAAATGACTAAACCAATGAAAAAAGAGACAAGTTATTCTATCTTCATTACCAGAATTACTAGAATCTAAGAAACTATGAAACAGTCAAATTCCCTCATCTATCTTCTAAATAAGATTTCAAAGGTCAAACTATATGGAAAATATGTAAAAACAGGAAATTCACTTTTAGATTAGGAAACAAATCAGAAACAACTGTTTTAAGAGTCCTTCCTCATAACTTGAGGGGGGGTGGCATTAAAAGAGAAAGAAAGAGAAGAAAAAAAAAAAACAAAGGTCCAGAAATCAAGCATACTTTTATAATAAACATTCTAGAAGCAAAAAACAGAGGCTGTGGAGAAATAGTCACTAAAGAAACAGAGCAAATGTCCTGACCTGAAGAAACTAGTCTTCGGG